TAATGATTTCACTTCAAGTTTAAATATTTCAACCAAATTTTAAATAGTTTGGTTAACTATCAGAAAAAATTGTAAAGTGTTGCATAATTTTAATTATATACGGGCAGTTTCATCTGGCTCTTTGTGAAATCCAATTAATATCTGTGTTAAACAAATTACTGAATTTTTCAAATCCATGTTTCTGGCTTCGAAAATCCTGTTGTTTATGAAATCATTTTAATCGCTAATTCTTTGACCACTTTATTTTGTTTTTTCAATTGTTTTAAATGTTAGTAAGATTAAATCAAGTCAGGCATGGCAAGTGTTTCATGTTTTACATTATGATTGCAAAAGTTCATTTAAAATTTTTGTTCATGTTGATGCCATAAGTTTGGGAATACTGAAAAATACAAGCGATATAGTTTGGTTTTAGTTCAATTATAGTCATTTCCCAATTCATATTATAAATGGATAAAATCATTGTTTGGTAAAGGGGTCAACATTAAAGCAAAAAAGGAAAGTCGTATTTTTTTATTTAACACAATTAGTAATTACTAGAAAAAGAGCGAATAAATTTACAGTATTAAAGAAGCGGTCGTATGATAATGCTAGTAGTGTTACGAATCCACTGAGATGGATAAATGCGAATGGATATGATATTTTTCTTGGGTGCAGTTCAAGAAATCGTGTTGATCTTTCCTGGATTAATCATCGTGCTGCACCGCAGTTACAGTTAGCTTTTTATTTTTTTGTGCATTTTTGGGACCACGGTTTTTAAGTGTAGAATTTGAAAACTTCCTGTAATTTTAAGAATATTAATTAATTCACCGATTCACATTGTTACAATGACTTTAATATTTGAAATCCCAAAATTAAATCCGCTATGACTTACAGCAGCTCACTGCATTTCTTGATAATAATACACCGCATTTTTTGAAATTTTCTTGAAGGATAATTGTATGTTTTAGTATTAAGACATTACTTTGTGGAGATGCTGTATGACAATTTCAAGCAAAACTTAATTTTTTTTTTCTTTACAGTAGGAAAGGATTGTCATTTTGTTCGGAGCTAATGGTGGAAAGGCATAGACGATTGAATACTTTGCATATGACAAGGCACATACTTTATCATATACCGTCTTGTGAAACCATGCTTTCAGGCATGGTTGAGGTATGCTTTTGGCACAATTTCAAAATTCTAGTTCATGGTATTAAAACGTAATATTTATTGGTCGCTGAAAAATAAGAATGTTTCAGTGAGAATAAAAAAAATAAGAATTTTCTTTATCCATGAGATTGTAGGCATGTATTGGAATCATTATTTTGATCCTTTATTCATTTACCAGTTGTTTCCATTTTAGGTAGCTTATTTTCTGGGTCATCCAACGATGGAGCTAACGATTTGTGTGCCAAAACGTGCTAAAATGCTTGTTTCTACACCAAACAATAATGATGAATTAAGGAAATACATTGAAAGGCGTAATGAATCATATCGTATGGCGTTTTGCTATCTCAGGGATATGGCTGAGAGAAAACATTGTGAAGTTCGTTTTTTTTTCCCCTCTTCTTTTTAAGGAATTGGTTTTTCTTTTCACTTGCAATCTATGAGTAGTTATTGGATAAAAATTAGGCCCACTGTTGGGATTGTGATTTATTACTTCTAAGGAAACAAGCTGCTTCCTGAAATTGATTAAATGTGTTGTTATAAGTCGTAGCAATTACAAATTATTTAGATATCAATCACTACAAATGAGTTTTTCTTGGTAACACTGAATATGTCATCCAGAGCAGAAATAAATCTGAACTGTGTTATTCCAAATAGAAAGTAACCATTTTATCTACATCTTATATGCTATGAAATAAATCATTTCAGATTTTCTCCGATTTGGATGATGCTCTCCAGTACGTTATTTCTTGCTCAAAAAAATGATGCTTCGTATATATATTTTGTAAATTTGTCGTCATGTGTTTTATCATCAATGTGCTACTGATTTACACACTAAGAAAAGAAATATTAATGCTGTGATGCAATGTGTATGTCACTGTTTACTTAATTTTTTTTTTTTTTTTTTTTAAATCAGAAGATTTAAAACACGGTCATTTGGAGGTTGATTGTCCACTTTCTTTAAATTTACTGTCTCTTTATTACTATGGGCACAAAGGAAGAACATTGTAGCCTGCTGGAATGAAATGTCCCAGATATTTTCCTAATTTCTTAGATTTTTATTGATATTAAGCAGTCTTAGAGATCAAAAATAACACATAAGAAAAAAGAAAAGAGCTTTGATTAATTCAATCGCAGAAGAAATGATTTAATTCACTTATGTTGCTTTTTGCGGGAATGAAAGATAAAAGCAATTTTTTCAAAAAATATTTCTTACATCACTTAAGAACAGATATGACTATAGGTTACCCTCAGAACAAATGAGATAAGATTCAGTGAGAAAGGAGTCAAAATGCAAAGTTAACATATGTTGTGTACTTTTCAATTGTGTCAAACATTTACAAAGGGTTACATTTCCATAACAATAATAATAATAATAATAATAATAATAATGATAACATAGTACTAATAATAACATGAATAATAGTAATGGTGATAATGACAATAATAATGCTGATGATATAGTAATAATAATAGTAATGGTGGTAATAACAATAATAATAATGCCGATAATATAGTAATAATAATAGTGATAACAATAACAATAATAAATAACATTGTATGTGCCTTAAAGAAGAATAGTTGTTGCAACACATTAACGGTTTCTTTCTGTTTTTTTTTTTTTTTTTTTTTCGTTTTCAGTATTTCGTTAGTATTTTATAAATAAAAAGAACTCAGTTCTTTTTTTTTCCTTTTTTTTTATTTGAATATAAACTTTTATTATTGTGGTGTTTCGACTGATATAAATATGATGCGATAATATGTATAACGATTTTAATTTTCGAAAGTGCTCCTTTCTCATTTGCATTTTTTTTTTCTTCCCCAAATTGATATTTGTCAGTAATCATAGTTATGATGGTGATAATAATTATAATTGCATAAACTGAAGAAAAGGATTGTGTGCCCTTTTTATCCCTTCTATATTTTATTTCCATTCTTCAAGTTTCATTCCGTTTTTTGAACTTTTGGATTTTTCAACCACTTTTAGAAAACACAAGAAAATATTAAAAAGAGACTACAAAAACACTTTCCTTATTCTGTTTTCCAGTGTTATATTTTCAAATCTTTTTTCTTTTGTAAAGTTGTTTTCTACAACATCTATATGTTTTTCAAAACACTTCCCGGAAATGATTAATAGTTTATAAATTAATTAATGGTTCTCTAAACTAATGACGAAATCTTCAAAAAAATTTTTACGAAAATTTTGAGCTCTTTGACATTTTTGACAAGAACTTCGGAAAAAAAAGTGTTAAAAAAAGATTACGAAAGTATTTCTTTTATTTCTGCTATCCTTTTTGAATGATTACATATTAACACACGTGATATTGATGCAATAATTGTTGCGCTGATATGCTGTATGATATGATGTGATATGATGTTAACTTATCTCTGTACAGGTTTCTGTTTTTGATATACATTCTTCATTCTTCAGATAAATAGAGAAGCTTCTGTAATTATTTACAAAAAGTATTGAAGTCCCTAGAAACCAAAACTTTCAAAAATTTGTGAATTAGTAAACTTCCCGAAATACGCAATTTCAGTCGAAGAGCTTTCAAGGCTTGAAATGTCATTAATTTCTCTTCCTTTCTTCCCCTCTCTCTCCCTCTCATCTTCTTTTTCCCACTGTTTTTTCCCTTAGTATAATAAGGAATTGTTGCATTTACAAAAAGAGATGAAGGGATTACAAAGTATTCAGAAATAATTTTTTTTTTATAACTTCGAATGTTCCCGGTTATTATCAGATATAATTTAAAATACTTGTGATTACAATCAAAATGTAATTTTTACTGTTTTCGATTACCATCAAAGTATTTTCATTCTTCAGTGAGATCTTCAATAAGGGATAGAATTATTCTTAATAAACGATTACCAGTTTTCACGTCAAATGGCAATATGACACAAAGAAAAAATCATTGTGTCATTTGCGTGACATTCTCGCATAAACTGTATTATCAGCATTAAATCAGAACGATGTGTAACTTTTTCGTTTTTTCTAGCTATTACTCAATTTCTTCATTTCAAAGAAATGAAATCATTTGGTAAGAAGTAGTCTTACGACTATTTTTCTGAAAATATTTTTATTATTCAGAAATATTATAATGAAAGCAAAATTTTAAATGCTTATAAGATTTAGGCATTCAAGGCTTGAGGATTAACAATAATGTTAAAATATGTAAGCGCATATTGTGCGAGTGTTTAACATATCATTGTTGTATACGACATGAGACAGTCTTATATCTTGATGTATACATAGCTCACATCTTTTATCTAATTCTTTGTCTTATATTTGATTTAGTTATCTTGATTTAAGTTAATCAAATTTTTGCTAATGATGATCAACTGTTGGAAAATGATAAGAAATGAATTCAAAGTTTTTATTGAAAAGGAACAAGGACAACAAATCCTTGTAGTTTGAGCGATGAATTTCCATGAGACCGAATTATTAAACATTTCCAACTTATAAATTGCTTCACGTTTCATTATAACTTAACTTTATTTTCCAAGTAAACTTTACAATTGCAATAAATAAGCATTCCTGAGATGCTTTACACATCCTACATTCCATATAGTCTCACAAAAATAAAATATTTAAAAATATTAAACAACTAATTCACTTAACGCCCACCTATTACCCTATCAACGTACATTGAAACCAAATAATTGTATTTGGTCTCTTTCAGTTGTAGCAGAAGTCATTTTCTATGCAATCCATCGTACAACGTAATATTTTTTCCATTGATGTCTTTTTTTTACACTTAGATATGCATAAAAGGATTATTGGTTTGGGAAATGTATTGTTATATAATAATAAAGCATTACACTATCAGTTTAATATATTTCGTACATTAATAACGAAAATGAAAGATGAAAGTGTTGATGGATGTGTTAATTCATTCAAACAACGACAACATTTTTCGAGGCGCGTAAAGGATGTTAAACCAAGCGTTTGGTATGTTTGTATAGCTCATTTTTAATTTTCTCTAGTTACATTATTTTTTTTTTCACATAGTGTTTTTATATTGATATGCTTCTTATCTTTTTCTTTTTCTCAAATTTAAGTAAACGGTAAGAAGTATATATACGGAACAATTTATTTGTTGTATTATTTGATATTATGTATATATAATAATTTGATTCTTTTATATGTACATATGTATATTTTAGTTAAATAAAATAAAAGTAATGTGGTTTTGACAAACAGTAGTCGAAAATCGGAACAGTTTATTAATTTTGCAGGGTTGAATTTACAAGTTTAGCTGTAGAATGTAAAGCAGTCAATATTGGACAGGTGAATGAGTACTTCAATTAATTCAAATAGTTCGCTTTTAATTTTTTTTTTCACCACGTATGTATTTTCATTGTATATCTGTAATATGCTGTCAAAGATAGATTGAAGTTCCATCATTGTTTATAGGGTTTTCCGGACACTCCTATGCCAAGATTTGTAGCTGGAATGTTAGAAAGTGTTGCCAGACATCCGGAAAGAACTGATTGGCATCAGTATAGTCGAGGTTTCGGTTATCCAAGACTAGTAAGTTTTTACTTATTTTAAATCGGCGTGGTCTTTTTCCTTTTTCTGGCTTTCTTTGGTTTTTCTTGACTTTTCTGGCTACTTTTTAGACGAATGCTCTATCAAGACTTTACTCAAGCACACTGGGTGTAAATGTTGATGCACAGCAAAATGTTTTAGTAACCGTTGGGGCATATCTTTCACTATATTACTCATTCATGGGTTGGCTAAATGATGGTGATGAAGTAATCGGTTTGTATTTTTCATTCATTTATAAAGCGTATGTGATATGATAGGAAAATTAGATCAGAAGGGTAGTTCAATTGCGAGGAAAACATTGTAGATTATTATTCAGAATTAGCAATTTCACAAGTTAGGATAACAAGGTATGTAATAAAATGCAGTTTTAATCGTTAATCTTGATATATTTTCAGTGCTTGATCCGGCATTTGATTGCTATGTCCCACAAATTCGTATGGCAGGTGGTGTACCTGTACCAGTTTTGCTTAATTTATCATCGGAACCTCGAAGTAGTAAAGATTATATGTTAAATGTGAAAGCGATTGAAGAGAAAATCAGCAATCGGACGAAAATGATTGTCCTCAATAATCCACACAATCCAACAGGAAAATTATTCACACAGTATATTATCGTTTGCTGTTTTTTCTTTGACTTTTTTGTAATAATTGGGAAAATTTTCCAGCTGTTTTCTTTCATAGCAATTTTTAACTCGTGGTATTAACGATCTGATTGAAGAGTAACTGTTATATTGCATCAATAACTTAAAAAAAAAAAGTTTATTCAGACTTTTTCTTTAGCTTGCATAAAGTTTTATTATTTTCTAGTAATATTTCTTTACTTTACATTTTTATAGGCATTCATATTTTCATTTGTTACCTAATTTTTGTTGGTATTCTTATGGGAATTTATTGGGTCAATTTGAGCAATCTGTATATTGAAATATAAATGAAGAATTAATAACATAAGCTATTTATATCATTTGTCATCAAAAAAGTAGTCGGCGGACGAATAACACTATATTATCTGGGTATAAATGGATCAAAAACAAAGAGCAAATTATAATATTTTTGCAGGGAAGAACTGGAAAAAATAGCTAATATTGTTGTTCGCCATAATTTACTGGTAATAGCTGATGAAGTATATGAATGGCATGTATATGGTGATAAGAAAATGATTCGCTTTGGTTGGTGTCAATATTAATTTAATTACGTAGTGAGAAGAAAAAAACTTTTTTATAAAAGAACATTGAAGGTAATTACTACTTTTTTAATATTACTTCCAGCTAGTTTACCGGATATGTATAGTCGTACGATAACTATTGGTAGCGCTGGAAAAGCATTTAGTGTAACAGGATGGAAATTGGGTTGGTCAATTGCGCCAGCTGAACTTCTTGAACCATTAAGACGGATCCATCAAAACTGTGTCTTTACATGCCCTACACCAATCCAGGTATATTTTTTTAATATTGCAATCGAATTAAGTTTTTTTTTTTTTTGTTGATTTCGGGTAGAGTTTTGTTGGTGTTAATATTTACAATATTTTATATCCATTGATGGAAATTAATATAAATTAATATAAATAAAATTAATATAATACATTTAGCCATTCTTTAAAAAGGAAGAAATTTATATTAATCGATAAGAGTTATCAACAATGTGCTAATGTGACCGAAAAATAATGGAAACCAATGAAAATTAACAGCATGTTTTTAGTTAACAATGTTTGGCTGTTTGACTGACAAAGTTAGTGCTGAAATAACTGTTACCATCGATGCATTCAGTAATTTGCAGCAAGCGGTTGCTGAGGCATTTGAGAAAGAATTAGATCTAATGGAAAATAACCCAACAGAAAGCTATTTGAAAAAAGGAATTACGTCTGAACTAAGTCAACAAAGAGATCGAATGGCATCAATACTACGCTCTGCTGGAATGAAACCTATTATTCCTGATTCTGGTTACTTCATGGTTGCTGACTTTTCGCAGCTGGGTGAATTTTCTTTTCTTTTTTTTCTTTGGTTCCAAATTACTGTTGGTAAATGGAGGGCGAAGCATTTTATTTGCTATTTAAGTGGTAGTTTAATTGCTAGTTTGGAAGTGATTATTGTGTTATTGTTTTTTCGCTATGTGAGAAGCTACATAAGCTTATGTTCAAAATACGATTCTTAGTGCTTCAGTTTTTAGATGGTCCATTTAAAATAGCAGATAAAAACAATGATCCATTGGATTTCCGTTTTGTGCGATGGATGTGTCGTGAAAAGGTATGCTATTATTTATTTAATCCATATTAAAAGTGTTTTCCTAGAATTGCTATTTATCTAATACAGCATAGATTTTAGAAACTTGCAATGATACCAAATTCTTCTTTTTACACTGGTTCAAATAAGCAGGGCAACGATAATTTTATTCGTGTTTGCTTCTTCAAGGTTTTTGATTCTTTTTCCATTCTTGCTAATTTGTTTTATATTGTTTGAAAGTAAGACTTTAAATAGATTTTAGATTATTAAATCTACTTTGCTAGTACATGATAATTCTTAACTTAAATTTTTGATCCGTTAATTTGCAACATACAATTATATAATTTTTATAAAATAGTCTGGCTTACTGTGTTGAGTATTAGGTTTTTTAGATGCATTCAATAGTGATACTTCGAAGCTGAAAAAGTTAACAGCTTAAACTATGTATGTGTCATGTTAAATTAAACAGAGTGGTTTTACAGTTGACATTTTGCACTTACTACAGTTGTCGGTATTACATTGAGACTGAATGATCTATAATAACGATAATAATAATTGTGATGCTAAGAGTGTAATTTTCAACATTTTAATACTAAAAACTATTATCTTTTCAGTCAGATAAGGTATTGGATGCTGCAGAATCAATATTGAAATCATTTCAAATGACTTAAGATCAGTATGCAATGGTGTGTTCCTTGTGATAATTTTTGCATTCTTTTACATTCCTAAAACTATTGTGAATTGTTGGAATCAAAATTGAGCATATTGTATATACATATATATGTTTTACCCTGAAAATTTATTCGTTAATTTTATTCACTTATAAAGATATTTACATTGGATCAGTATATATCTTCTTATGATTTCGAAATGTCCACGGATACATCAGCTTCTTTACAACATGTCTCGCAACTTTGTGGACCAAAGCTTTGAATTATGATCCGTAGCATTTGGTTGAAGAAAACACGAAAAGATTAATAGCAGCTGAAGTGAAGGTAGATATTTTGGTAATCCTAGGAATTCAACCAAAGGTTGAAGTAATTGAGACTTCGTTAGTATTTCCTATTCATTTCTAGCCAATTTTGATGATTGATTTACGTGTTTTAAGATGATTCTGAGATTTTGAGGAAGTCAAAACGATGTGGTCTTAAATTGTCTTTTGCGAAGTTAAACATTAAAAAAATCCTTTTTGAATTGCAGGCTTCAAAAACACAAAAGGAATACAACTTTAAAATATCTGTTAAACAATAAGATTCAGGTTTTATATTTTTCATCTGACAATTTAGCAAGCTGTGTCTGAACGAGTTTGTTCATTTACGTGATCAATTTGAAGACAAATAAATATGGCGGAAAATTCAACGGAAACAGATTTGAAGACGTTTAAAGATTTTTTAACACAATACAATGCTGTTGCTGAACAATGTTTCACATCATGCATAACCGATTTTACCACAAGGTAAGCAATCTCCTTTATAGAGTTATTTGCAAAGAAAAAAAATTTTTTTCGAGAAGAGACATAAACTGCCTTTCAAATTTAGTATTTAGAGAAGTCTTAAATTGCCAAGAAATTTTGATTATTTTGTTTTGATGTTTTGATTTTGTCCATTTTTTCTTTTTTTTTTTTCATTTGTTTATCTCAATACAATTTAGGAAGAATGGGGAAAAATTTTTTCCCGTTCCCTAAAGCTTTTTTGCTTCAAAGATTTGGGAAGTTTTAGACGCAAGGTGTGAGTTGTGTTAAGATTGGATACAATTATCATTTTATCATTTCCCCATGTTTATCACACAATAAATGACAAAAACTTCGGTTGGTGGAAAAAATGAATATTGAAAAATTTTCCTACTTTTGTTTTTTCTGAAAATGTTTCAAGCAAATATAGAGAGGTAAAAAAATAAAATTTCTTTCTTTTTCCTCAGTAAATTAAAAAGCTGAACGGAAGTTTTGGAATAAGATGACTTTTTTTTTCTTTTGTCAATAATTTGTGTTAATTCCAGGTAGTAGCTTTTTCATTTGTATAAATTTTAAGCTTGTTTCTTTCACCAGGCAAAGTATACTTTTTATTTTTTTACTAACATTATTAGTGTTACTCTATATATTAATATATATTGCATATTTCAGGACAGTAAGTAACTCCGAAGAGCAGTGTTGCTCGAACTGTCTTGATAAATTTTTGAAAATGACACAAAGGATGTCGTTACGATTTCAGGAACATCAATTGATTCAGAGTGAAGCACAAGGACCATTAGGATTAAAATAATAATTAAAATTTCTTTCTAACTTTTTAATCGTGTTTTATCAAATCGTTTTGTTGTTATTACAATATAGCATAACTTTCTACATTAGACACTCAAACGAAGCTTATGTTATGTTAGTTGTTATTTGTTATCGTTTTATTTCATCTGTTTTTAGCTTTTTTCTTTTATTGAGAAGTTTTCAATGATGGAATATGTAAAATATCATTTTCAAATAATTTTAGTGATAACAGTAGCGAGATTCAATTGATAAGACGGTTAGCAACAATATTTCAATTTCTATAGTAATATTTTTAATTCTCGATCACTTTTTTCTTTTTAATTTATATTAAGGTAGTCTTTAAAGTTGTTGATCAGTCTGTGAATGGAAGCTTTTGTGAAATTGTGATTATATTTTATAAAATTTTGTTGGTTCTTCATTTTTCTTCAGTAATAATTGTCAATTTCTTCAAAAAAAAAAAAAAAAAAAGAAAGAAATACTTAAATGCACAGCATATGATTGTTAACATAGTATGTTTATTGGCTTCATGCAGAGTATACCACAATCACTTTGAATAGATTCAAGAAAAAGAGAGAGAAAGAGAAAGGGAAAGAAAGAAGAGAGGAAAAAAAAAGTTGATGGACTAATTCGTTTTTATTTATTTTTTTCAAATGAACCTGATTTACAGCATTATTTATACTTTTGTTCTGCTTTTTTCTTTGTATTTCGTTTAGTTCCGTCTTTGAGTTATTTTTTCAATATAGGTTTCTAAATTGTTTTATAAAAAAAATTGAAATTGAAAGAATCAAGTATTTATCGGTGATAGGAGTCAGCTTTTTTCTTTCATTTATTAAATAAAGCATATCAATTGAAGTTATTATATTTGAATTTGTTTTATAATTTAAGGTTATAATATTTGAATTTATTTGGATTATTTATAATACAGTTTGATTTGAGCTTCCATTTCAAGAATTAAAAAAAAAAAGCACAAAGTATTTATGAAATTTGAATTCAATTTTGATTGCATTATTTTGTGGAATTAAAACTGCGTTAATCGACTGGCAAGAAATGCAAGGCAAATCCAAAAAACTTTTGATTGTTACAATTGGAATTTTTGAAAAAGTCGAAAATTTATTGTTTCTTATAAGAGAGGATTATTGATTAAAAATGAAAAGCAAAAATAAATCTCCCAAATTTTTCATATAGATTTTTGCAAATTAAAAATTTACAAAATTAATAGTTGCAATTAAAATTATGAAACGAAAGTTTCAGAAAAAAAAAATGGACTTTTTGCTGGAAATTGTCTTTCTTTGGCATAGTATGTTGCAATTAGCTGTAGGGAAACCTTTTTGGAAAGCATATATTTTTATATTTGAATCATTCAAAAATTTGAAATAATATTTTATTAATAAGTTATTATTATTCTTTTAATTTATTCCTACTTTATTTTCATGCCAATATTTATTACCAAATTTCTAAAGTATGCAACTTTTAAATTAGATCAAAACTGCAAATAATTAGCCATTTCACTACATCATATTGTATCTTCATAGTTCTATTATTTTTATGTTTAATCCAATGAAAGATCCACTTATTTTCTATTCAAATTCATAAATATTTACTGCTTATCTACGTCATACGTTGAGGTATATGTTAACTTTACCTTAAATAAGTACAATAATCATAAATAAGTATAAAACAAAAATGAAAAGTGACGATTTTTTGAAATTATCATGTTTTCAACTAAACTTACGAACGTGTAATAAATTTGTAAAAATCAATAAATGATGAGGTAGAGAGTAATAATGATTGATTTGAAAATAATTTCCTTATTTATCAGTTTATAGTATACGTAAATTTCACATCATTCATCAACTAAATTAATGTTTACAACTTGAAATCATTATTAGAAATGTAAGCATTACAATTAATATGTATGATTTGATCGATTGAATTTGAAACAAAGCCTTAAAGCATTTTTCGAAGCATTGAAAAATAAATCTTAACAATTTCTATTAAACCAAAGAATACAACTGTTTAGTACAAAACAAAAAATTTCGAACAAAGATTTCTAAAAATTTATTTCTCAAAGTTTTCTCTTTTTTTTCTCCTTCTCTCTCTTTATTTTCAGGAAAATACAAACAAAAAAAAAAAAGAGAAAAACATAACAACAAAAAATTTTTTTTAAAAAAAGAAAACAGGAAAATAATTATTAACCACATGAGTTAAAAAAAAAAAACTTATCATTTTCCGCTTTTTCCTTATTACTTAATCATTCAACCTCTCTCCCTTTCTCTCTCGCTTTTTCTCTCCCTCTTTCTATTATAAACTTAAGTAATACAATAAATTGACAAGGAAGAAAAAAAAAAACAAAATGAAAAAAGCATAAATAAATTTGATGGATTTCAAAGAGCTGCTTGTTTTCATTTTCCTTTTTTTTTTTCCTGAACATTTATTTGTTTTTTTATTTTTTAAAAGTGTCTTTGTTTTACTTTTTTAACTCTTCGAATGTTTCTCGTTGTTTTATTTTTTTTTTCTGTCATTTCTGATTAAAATTTCAATTAAAAAAGTTTTTATACAAATATGACCCGGTAAAAGTTAATAAAATAAACAAACAATTTTAATTTTAAAAAAAAATGGTATTTTAATACTGAATAGAAAATGAATAAATAATGCGGAAATTATTTGAAGTTTAAATTTGATAAGCTGAATATAAGAGAGAGAAGACAGAGAGAGAGAGAGAGAGAGAGAGAGAGAGAGAGGAAAAAAGAAAATGAATGAAAAAGGAACAAAAAATATTTTTTTTTTGATTTAAATTTTGATAGCAAAATGGTAGTATATATGTATTATATATAGTAGAACCTATTGAAAAAATTAAATTTTTTCTTTTTTTTTTGATACATTAAAAAAAATGGAATGAGGATAAAAAAAAAAAGAGAGAGGGAGAGAGAAGAAAAAGAAATAAAAGAAAAAGGAAAAAGAAGAAAGAATGATTAATGAGCGAATTAGTTAAGGAAGAATTTTTAGTCTATCTACTACACTAGCACCATTATTTCTATCCCAAAAAAAAAAAAAAAAAAAAAAAAAAAACGAAAATTTTTTTCATCTTTCATCTTCCCATACACTTATATATATATATATATATATATATATATATATGCATTATATGTGTTAAACATAAACGAATGTTTAAACATTTTTATACCTTTTTAAATTACATTTAATTATTATTAATTACTTTTAATTTCATTTTTTTCATCAAAATTGAATAAAACTATACTATATATATATATATATATATATATATAAATATATAAAAAGAAAATAAAATCAATTCTTGCCAATGATGTCTGTTTGTTTATTTATTTCTTTACTTTTTTTTTTTTGTTTTTTGGTTTTTTTCTGGTTTTTTTCGTTTTCTAAATTCTTCCATACACA